GTCTTAGATTCCTCATGTGAACCTCAACGTAACGTTATCTTACAGCATTGCAACTGCCCTCTCGTATACATACAGCTCTGACAGGGTTAAGCCCGAAGGACCGTATAAGTAATATACAGCTAAACATCTGCAGTATTTTGGAAAATACAGTTGAATATAGATTACCTGTCATTCCATAAAGGTCTTTTCATATTTTTAACAAATACATGAATTACTATGTTGTTGAAATTGAACTTACACCTTTTTAAAAGATAAAAAGTAAAAAAAAATGACTTGTTTAAACTTAAAGCTTTTAAATATTTTGTTGAAAAAACTAGAGGCAATGAGCTTACTAAATGATACCCCCACCCACCACATGAATATGATGGCAGTGTCCACGTTTTACTATGGGAAACCCAAAATATATGAGTCGGAGATCAAAAAAGTAAAATAGAAGGTGCACAATGGTAATATGTAATAAAGATTCTGTGAAAGTCTCATTGAATTTCATTGAGTGGTATGAGAGAAGTTGCGGATAAGAGATGGGTACCCCAAAGCGTAACAGACGGATGGACGGACAGACGGACATCCCGATTACTATATACCATCCCGCTTTTCAAGCGGGGATATATCCCCCCTCCCCCCAAAAAAAGGTAGACTATTTAATATGAATCAATAAAGTCAAGAAGTTAATTCACATAAATACATATATATATATATATATATATATATATATATATATATATATATATATATATATATATATATATATATATATATATATATATATATATATATTTCCAATTCATCATGTAATTAAGTATGTAAATATCTAGTGTTTAGTAGTTTAGTAGTAGTGCTAGTTGTTTTTGTTTCTCTTTTTCCTTTGTTCTTATGACTTTTTAACTTTTTTCTTTGTCCTGAGGAAGGGACAGGGCGTCCCGAAAATTTGACAATTTTTATTGTTCGTGTCGTTGGTCATTTTTAGTGCTTTTATATATATATATATATATATATATATATATATATATATATATATATATATATATATATATATATATATATATATATATATATAGTTATGGGTCAGAATTACCCTAAATGCCAGCAAAGATCAATAACACAATTTAAACTTAACAATAATTTATTTACAGTAATATATAATAAGTATATGAAACATAAAGTACAAACTTAGCAAGAATCTAAAAATACATACATCAGAGTGTTCGTTGCTGCACACAATGTCCAGTGTAATTATATCCCAGTCTCTTTATACACCTGTACATCAATGTTACTTATACGACAATTTATAGTTTATGCATCGAATTGACAGGGTATTTATATAGTACTATAAATCTAGAAAATTCTAGAAGTTGTAAGTACATGATATTACTGGAAAGTTCTGGACATACACAAAGTTCAAGAATGTTCTAGTAAAAATGACCAAACATGTTGACCACTCTGGAATGTTCAAGAAACTTAATGTTACTAATAATATACATGATGAAACAATACAAATACAACACACCTCACAACACCTCCCCCCTTAAAAAGTTTGAATATCAATGAAAAATTATATTGTTAAAGTAAAATATATGTACATTAATACAAATCTAATTTGTTCATGATACTTTGGACAAGGCATCTGCAATAACATTGTCTTTGCCTTTGATATGCTTTTTTGACAATTTATGCAAAAATGTCAGGGGGTTGTGATCAGTATATACAAGAATTGGATGCAATGTAACATTCAGATAAACATCAAAATGCTGTAAGGCTAACAACAAAGCAAGGCATTCCTTTTCAATGGTGGAATACTTTTGTTGACATTTTGTAAGTTTCTTTGAAAAATAAGAAACAACTCTATCTACCTTATCACTATGTTCTTGAAACAAAGCTGCCCCGATTCCAACATCACTAGCATCAACAGTTAACTTAAATTGCTTAGAAAAATCTGGAGTCGACAGAACTGGATTGCTCATAAGGACAGATTTGATTTTATGAAACGATTTTTCACAGTCCTTTGTCCATTCAAAGTTAACCCTCTTTTGTAAAAGATTTGTAAGTGGACTAACTACTGAGGAAAAATTTGGACAAAATTTTCTGTAAAATCCAGCCATGCCCAAAAACCTCATTAACTCTTTCTTGTTTGTAGGAATCGGGAACTTTGCAATAGCTTCCACTTTAGCCATAATGGGTGTAACATAACCTTGACCTACTTTATGGCCTAAATACTCTACATAAGCATGACAAAATTCGCTCTTCTCAAGGTTCACAGTTAAGTTTGCTTTAGCTAAAATGTCAAATAAAGCACGCATGATTCGGAGATGTTCGTCCCATGTGTCGCTATATATGACGACATCATCAATGTAAGCCTCGCATCCCTTGAGGTCTTGGAGAAGGGAGTGAATCATCCTTTGGAATGTAGCCGGTGCGTTTTTTCATGCCAAAAGGCATTACTTTATACTGGTAAAGTCCATCTGGTGTAGCAAAAGCAGATATTTCTTTTGCTCTTTCTGTTAACGGCACTTGCCAGTAGCCTTTCAACAGGTCAAATTTACTGACAAATTTCGCGTTTCCAATGTCAATACAGTCATCGATTCTAGGTATTGGATATGAATCAGTTTTGGTAACAGAATTCACCTTTCTAAAGTCTGTACATAATCGGTAGGTACCGTCCTGTTTTGGTACAAGAATACATGGTGAGCTCCAGTTACTTTTACTAGGTTCGACAATGTCATTGTCCAACATGTACTGCACTTCCCTTCTTAGGTACTGCAATTTTATTAGATTAAGACGGTACGGATGTTGTTTGATAGGCAGAGCGTCATTAGTTTTCTTTGGAACATCCGAAAAGATTTGATGATACTCACTCGTCAAGTTTTAAACTTGTTCTTTTTGGTGAATGTTCAAATGTCCAAGTTTAGCATCCAAATTAGCCAAAACTTCTGAGTTTTTCAAACGGACACTCTGATTACAATCTTTCTCATTCATTTCTACACTCGTATCACTTTCAATACAATTTTGAACAGTCTTAGCATCGGCTAAAGTGGAAACTGGTTTTACAGAATTTCGGTCACACCTTTCAAAATACTCTTTCAACATGTTTATGTGACAAACCCGTTTCTCTTTACGTCGACCTGGTGTCTTAACTACATAGTTTACATCACTAATCTTGCTTTCAATTTCATAAGGGCCGTAATATCTGGCCTGTAAAGGATGACCAGGAATAGGTAAAAATACAAGAACCTTATCACCTGGCTTAAACACCCTATTTCTGGCATCTTTGTCATACCACATTTTCATTTTCATCTGAGAACTCTTCAAATTTTCTTGTGCTAATTTACAAGCATTGTAAAGTTTTTCTTTGAAATCAGACACATAATCTAAAAGATTAAGATCACTAGTCTCAGTCAGCCACTTTTCCTTCAACAATTTCATAGGTCCTCTAACTGTATGACCAAACACCAATTCAAAAGTTGTTTTTTTTTCTCTTTTTCCTTTGTTCTTATGACTTTTTAACCTTTATCTTTGTCTGGAGAAAGGGACAGGACGTCCCGAAAATTTGACAATTTTCATTGTTCGTGTCGGTTGTAATTTTTAGTGCCTTATATAAATTTCCACCCGTGACCTTGTATCTACTTGGTAGATCTGACATTTAGGATATACAGTGTTGTTGGTTTTTTAGTGCTTTATATATATATATATATATATATATATATATTATATATATATATATATATATATATATATATATATATATATATATATATATAAAACAAGCATTATATACTTGATTGCTTAGAAGAAATTGATTTAATACAATATCAACATCCTGAGCACATTACATTATAGACATGTCTTAAAACAAAAGCAGATTATTCACAACACTTTTAAACCTATGACTTTTTAGCTCACCTGAGCCGAAGGCACAAGTGAGCTTTTCTGATCACATTTTGTCCGTCGTCCGTCCGTCTGTAAACTTGTAACATTTTCGACTTCTTCTCAAGAACCAATGGACCAATTTTAACTAAACTTTATACAAAGCATCCTTGGGTGAAGGGGAGTTTAAATTGTTAAAATGAAGGGCCAAGTCCCCTTCACAAGGGGAGATAATCAAGAAAAGACAAAAAAAGATGGGATCATCAATAAATTTTCTTCTCAGGAACCACTGGGTCAGGAAAGCTGAAACTCATATGGAAGCATCCTTGGGTAGTGTAGATATCAAATTGTTAAAATCATGACCCCCAGGGTTTGGACAGGGCCACAATAGGGAATCCAATTTTTACATAGAAATATATAGAACAAATACTTAAAAATCTTCTTCTCAAGAACCACTGGGCCAGGAAAGCTGAAACTTATATGGAAGCATCCTTGGGTAGTGTAGATATTAAATTGTTAAAATCATGACCCCCGGGAGCAGGGCGGCGCCACAATAGGAAATCCAAGTTTCGCATAGAAATATATAGAACAAATCTTTAAAAATCTTCCTCTCAAGAACTACTGGGCTAGGAAAGCTGAAACTTATGTGGAAGTATCCTTGGGTAGTGCAGATATTAAATTGTGAAAATCATGACCCCCAGAGGTAGGGCGGAGCCGCAATAGGGAATCAAAGTTTTACATAGAAATACATAGAACAAAACTTTAAAAATCTTCTTCTCAAGAACCACTGGGCCAGGAAAGCTGAATTTTATATGGAAGGATCCTTAAGTAGTGTAGATATTAAATTGTTAAAATCATAACCCCGGGGGTAGGGCGGGACCACAATAGGGAATCCATGTTTTACATAGAAATATATAAAACAAATCTTTAAAAATCTTCCTCTCAAGAACCACTGGGCCAGGAAAGCTGAAACTGATATTGAAGCATCCTGGGGTAGTGTAGATTCTAAAGTTTTAAAATCATAAAAGGGAAGGGGGTAGTTGGGCATGATAGGTATAGCAAGAGGGGGAATCTGGTAAAGAACTGCATCACCCAAGTTACTCAGGTGAGCGATGTGGCCCATGGGCCTCTTGTTTGAAAAAAAAATGTAATTTCAGGATCACAAATTAAATCTTTAGTCGACGATCCACTTTGAAAGCACATCTCTCAAAACAGAGAAATCTACCGCATCGGCTGCAGTGTGAAGTAAGTGTTCGAATCTAGACTTCGATGATTCGATTTCATCCCACATTTCTCTTCCACTGTTAAGTGAACTCTATCGTAATGATGGTCATTTGCATTTGTCTCCCTTGAGTCCAAACGCGTATTAATATTGTTCCAACTTCTCTCAGCTACAGGTGAATGGTTTGTTCGTATTTCTGTTTGTTGTGTGGTGCTGCTAATTTCCCTTCTTTCTGTATTTTGTTTAGTATTTTGTGGTGGAAGCCTGCAACTTAAAAGGAATGGCAAGCTCAATTGTAATTTCATATTATATTAATTGTTTTCAAGTGATATGTAAAGATAATTAAATTAATTTATATATCCTCAGTCAATCTTCATCTGGGGACTTTTTAGGTCTTGTACAATGCATATTATACTAAATCATTTTCAAAAGTTTCAATATTCTTTATTATAATTTTTCCATTATATTTTTGAATATCATTTATTGCTATATACATTTTTATTAGATGATGTATTTAGGCAATTCATGAAAATACTGTTAATTGTAATAATCCACGAGCAAATTAAAAAAAATTACAAATTCATTAAGTAAGAACCAATTAGGGATATACTACTATACATGTATATACAGAACCTTCAAAAAGTCATCTTTATAAAGTAACTGAAAGTTTAATTAAGGAATCCAATATTCTACTTGCTTTGGACGACTCTCTTTAAATGAGAAACCAGATGTATTAGTATTTTCCTGGCACTTTCTGACTGATTTTTAAAAAGTCATTTCTTAATCTAATGCATTTACTGCAAAGAAAGGCAAATATTTTAAGTTCTAGAGCAGGATGCATCAACTTCTGTACTCTGGCGTATCTAGGAGTAAATCAGCGGAACCTACCACTTCAACAAAAGCACTGAAAAACAGAAGACGAGGAGAATAATCTGAGATCCGCCCAGGATTAACACCAGCTTCAGAAGAAGTGTACAGCTCTCGTTATGTATCGGAAAATCCAGATCAGTCCCGGTATTATTCCTATTATCTGCTGAGTAAACAATCACATGTTTTTATTTGTTCATTTTTAAATAAAGACATTCATCAGGCTTTTCATTCTTATTTCCGTTGAATATGAATATAGTTTTTGTGGGATATATTGGTATTTTATGTTCCTGTTTAGTTAATGATTATAAAGTTAGTTAGAAGTACTTATGTGAATGTTTTAATTTTAATTAACTTCCTTCTACCGAAAGCTTAACTCATCCAATTCAATTTCTAACAAGGAATTTTTAAACAAGGAACTGAAAATAAACAGAAAACAGAAACATGAGGTACATACATGTACCGTGAGCAATGAACTCACCAAATTACTGAAGATCACTATATTTTCGCGACACCTTATTTTCGCGAGATAGCCATTGACTCTTGATTAGCGAGGCAGAATTTTCACGAATTGTGGTTATTGCTCTATATAATCTTAAAGAATGCTATTATACGCGAGAATTAAATTTTCGCGAGCACACTGTCTCGCGTAATTACGCGAAAATAAAGTTCTCGCGAATAAAAAGTGATTTACAGTATACCCCTGCCTCCCATATGGTTATAATGACAAAGTCCATGCATTGCTCTGGGAGACCCAAAAGAAGTGTCAGATCAAAGAGTAAAAAAGGAGGTGTACAATGACATTCTGTGATAAAGAATATCTGAAAGTATCATTAAAGGTGCCATTCAGTATTACAGAATGAATGGCAGTGTCCATGTTTTGCTATAGGAAAAACGAGATACTAGTATATGTCCGATCAAAAAGTAAAAAAAAAGAGGGTCACAATGTCACTTTGTAACAAAGATTTATTGAAAGTTTCATTAAATTTTAATCAGTGGTTTAAGAAGAGTTGCGGATATGAGATGGGTACCCCCAAAGCGTAAAAGCATGTAATAGTCATTGCATTATATATACATTTGCATATATATACTTGTACTAAAAAAGTCTTCCGAACCATAGCAAAAGAACCCCTCCCCCGCTTGAAAAGTGGAGGGTAAATAGTGATCGGGATGTCCAAGAAACTAGAGGCACTGTGAGCAATGAGCTCACTTAATGATACCTCCGCCTCCCCTATGATATAATGATGGCAAAATTATGTATTGCTCTGGGATACCCGAAATAAGAGTCAGATCAAAGAGTAAAATAGGAGGTGCACAATGGCACTATGTAACAGATTCCCTGAAGGGAACATTAAATTCTATCCATGCAGTGGTTAAGGAGGAGTTGTGGATAAGATATCAGGGTATCCTTCAATCTAATAGAAAGAATGACAGTGTCCATATTTTTCAATGGGAAACTCAAAACATGGGTCGGATGAAAAAGTAAAAAAAAAAGGTCACAATGACACTATTTAACAAAGATTATGTGAAAATTCCATTTAATATCTCATTCAGTGGTAAATGAGGAGTTGTGGATAAGAATGAAGCCACTAATACTTTAAATTACTAACCTTATGAAAACAAATATTTTACACATGATATGGAGACAACCAATATACAAATATTGAATTCAAATCATCATATAATAAATATCTTACAAATGATATAAAGACAACCGATACTGCTTAATATATTTAAAACATTATATAATAAATATCTAATAATTATCTTACATGTGATATGCAGACATCCAACATATGGATTACACTTTTCCCCCTCCGTGCAGTTGCATTCCGAATCACAGTTCACACCATAAAAATTCAATGGACACGGGGACATGCAGTCTTCTCCAAAAAAGCCAATGCACTCTGGTAAAAATAAATTGTACATCTTCACGTTTAAAGCTGACTTGAAATGAAAGCTCGTGAGCTTAATTTTCTGATCACCCGTTGTCCGTCGTCCGTCCATCTGTAAACTTTTCACATTTTCAACTTCTTATCAAGAACCATTGGGTAAATTTTCACTAAACTTAGTATAAACTTTAAAGCAATCTTGGGTGAAGGGGAGTTTAAAATGGAGGGCCCTGATTGAAAGGGGAGATAATCTAAATAGAAAATGAAAGATGGGGTTATTAAAAAAAATCTCTGGGTGTAGATTCTAAATTGTTCAAATCATGACCCCCCCGCGGGTAGGACAGCTCCAAAATAATGAATCCAAGTTTAACGTTGAAATATACAGGATACTTCTTTTTAAAAATGTGAAAGCATCCTGGGGTAGTGTAGATTCTACATTTTCCAATTCTTGACCCCCTGGGGAAGAATGGGGTCTTAATAGGTATTACTAAGGGGTCTGTTAATAACAGCAATAGTATTTCAAGCAGCACAGGTACCGTGAGCAATGAGCTCACTAAATGATACCCCCGCCTCCCATATGAATATAATGGCAGTGTCCATGTTCTGCAATGGGAAACCCAAAATATGTGTTGTATCAAGATGCACAATGCACAATAAAGATTCTTTGAAAGTTTCATCAAATTTCATTAAGTGGCATTAGAGGAACTGCGTATAAGAGATGGGTACCCCAAAGCGTAACAGACGGACGGACGAACGAACATCCCGATTACTATATACCCACACGCTTTTCAAGCGGGGAATATAGTAAAATACAAGGTTCCTTACCTGTACAGGTTTTGTTTATCATTCTGTATCCAGAACAACATTTTTCTCGGTTGCTGAATAAAAAATGTCAGGGATCAATCATTAATTCACAAATTTATGACGTAAGCTAATAACTATATGTTCAAATGACTTACTTTTTTGTTGGACATAGAGAACTGCCATTCTGTTTTCCATACGAAACCCCGAGAAAAAGAATAAGACAAATAAACCTTGCTTGTTCCATTTGTGCTACTTCCATGGCGAAATAACCAGTTTCCTTGTTTGTATCACTTAAATCACTTATAATACATTTAAACAGATTTAAAAATTACATCCGTTCTTCCTTTCAGTTTAGATAAGTTGAAGTTTAATGTAAAATTGATGCAGAAGATTTTCACCCAAAGCAATGTCTTTTTTTAAAAATCCAAACATGGTCTTCTTTCCATAATGAAGCTAATATCAATGATAAAACAAAGACTTACAAAGTACAAGTGTTCATTAATGGCAGGACGTGACGCTTTTCTTGCCCCCATATGTTTTTTTTTCACAACCATGAGTCTTTTTACACTTCCCCAGTCAAATTATACTTTGAAGGACCTCTTACACTACTTCATTATATTAAAGGACAATGGTTATAATACAGCTCAAGTGCATGACAGCATTAATTCATTTTATTTCTTAAATTTTGACAAGTGTTGTATTCAGTAGCTTAGTACTGTAAGTTTTAAATTACCAATTATGTTTCCCCGTATACCGGTTTCTTAAACTTAAGGAAAAGATGATGTAGTGAGAGAGAGTTCCGCTAAGGATCGTTAGAGGAAGGTAACAATCTTACTTCTGTTTTGTCTAGACTAGGGGTTCTGTTACACTACATTCAACAGTTTACCGGAAGGCTCTTGAAACAATAAATGAAGAGAGACTTTCAAAGATATCCTATATACCTAGAGACATTTCTTTGAAAAGTGTTTGTGTTGTCGCGTCACTATATAAAGGGCTACGGACAAACAAGCGGACAATTTGCTTGAATATGCATTTCATTCGGGGCCCTATCTTTGCATGCAAAGATTGGGAGAGATAAACAAATCAGTACCTCCCTTTCCTTTTAAATCTTCTTTGTGTTTGGTAACTTTTGGCTACTGTGTTTAACAAAAGATTTACTGCACCTATACTTTCTAAAACAAGTTTTGGTTTATTGATGTTATCCTGGTCCGTCCATCCGTCTGTCTCATTTTCGCCCTGTAATTACTATATAATTTTTAAAAGCAGTAACCAAGTCAATTTTTGGAACGATGAAGCTGATATCTTATAGATGTACAATACTGTTTTGGAGTTTTCAATTTCATCCAGTGGACCAAATGATTCTACAGAAACTTGCTTCAACTAGGGTATATGGAAAAGTAGATCCGTAAATTTCAAATGTAAATAAAGGAAAGAAATAAATGTCGACAGTTTGACATCAAATTGTGAAATCTTATCCAACACATGAAATGTCAACAGGTCGACAGTCGACATCCAATTTGGATACTATTTTCCCTGATAAAAAAGAGGTCGATCAGTCAACTTGTTGACTCGTCTATCCGTCAACCTGTCGACCTATTTTCCTGAAATACATGACCTGTCAAGCAAATAATCTGTCAAACTGTCGACCTGACAACTCGTCTACCTGTAGACCTGTCAACAAAACATTCTGTCATCCTGTTGACCTGTCATTTTGTCAACTTGTCGTCATGTCCACAATTTTACCACAAAGTTCCTGTGCTGCATAGAATTCCTACAAATTTCCTCATATTTATCGTAATGCGCATTAATTCTTCAGACTTTTAGAGTGAAGTATATGGAGAATACGAACAGTATTCAATATCAAAGTCCATAAAACAATACAAAATAGAAGCAGAGCAAACACGGACCTCTAAAACATCAGAGGTGGGATCAGGTGCCATGGAGGAGTGCACATCCCCTGCCGACCGCTCACACACCCGCTGTGTGCTCCTTGTCATGATTGGGTAATAACGGAAAAATCCGTCGTCGATTCAGTGTATAAATAATGGACTAACAATCAATATGAAAGACGTCAGTCAGCATTTGACTCAATGATAAATTGTATTTGCTGACAAAGTCATTGTATCGACCATAGAACTTATGAAACCATAGAAGTTATGACTTTAAACGAGTCTGCTGAAATTCTTGTTTCATCAACTTGTTTGTCAATAATTTACCTCGTTGTAGAAATTGTTCATACGTAGAGCATGCTCTTGCGTATCTAATCAACTGAGATATGTAAATGTAAACTCCGTATGTAGGTGATGAATAAGTAAGGGAAGTTGACGATAGAAAAGTGAAAGTCGTCACGTTTATCATAGAGCTTGGTTGTTAGATTATCATTAACGTCTTTTTTTTTCAAGTAAAATATCTAGATATGAAACAAATGTGTCACACTCTGTGGTATCTTTTATCTCAAGCTCACCAGGACATATCATATCGACATAAGAATGGAAATTACCATTGTTAATTGACAATACGTCGTCGATATATCTGAATGTCGAGTTGAAGGGCACAGCAAGTTTTTTCTTCTTTTTTTTCTTCTTTTCATGTATAAGATTTTGCAAAAATTTTGCTTCATATGAATACAAAAATAGGTCTGCTAATAACGGGGCGCAGTTGGTACCCATGGAAATTCCAACAGATTGTTGGAAGACTGGTCTCTAATACAGATATTGTCACTCAGAAACTGAAGCATATTTTAAAGCCAACTTCATCACAAAAAGTAATTGATAGTGTCTTTTGGACGTGCTATTCGTCTTGAACTCATTTTTTAAAAATCAAAACCTTCAAGCGAACTCTTTTTAAAATGACGGAGGTTATTGACAAATACCCTGATAGTACAAGGGTATAAACTATCCGTTAAAAGTCCACAAAGAAGACTAACTCCTTCATAACACGTGTTCCCACTTCTATTTTCTGAAGTTTGTGTTGGCTCTGCTCATCATTTGTATTGTTCAGGAAGTTATATAATACAATGTATATGTCACACACCTAAATTGACTAAATGGAATAACAAGCATGGTACCATATATACCAAAATACCACAGACAATCATATTGATCTGATATTATTGCAAAAAACGAAAAAATAACACGAAGTCACTGATGCGGACATCAATGATGTAATAATAATAGGTGTCCTGAAGATAGAATCCATCTTACGTTGTATACGTTTTTTTTATAAACACAGATATCTTAAAATTTTACAGGGTGTGATGAATAAACGTATAAACCCCAGAAAATTCCAGATATAAGATGTTATTCATAACTGTATGATTGAAATAGAATATAATGTATAGATGAAAGGAATCCCGAAGTGAAAAAAGAAAAAAAAGAATTAGATAGATTACATGATCAGTACGAACTGGTCCCCGCTGAAAAAGCAGGTAACCACATTGTCTTTGTTTGTAAGGCTCATTATATAAATTGTATTTTAGAAGAACATCGATTTAATTCTATAAGTGGTAATCAAACTGATATTCAAAGTTCCCTTTCTAAGGAAGAAATTCTGCAAAATCATACGTCAGTTTTGAATATTTTTAATATCCTAAAGAATCAAAATGAATTTGAACTACCATATATTGGATTCCGAAACTTCATAAAAATCCATACACAGCGGGTTCCAGTAAATGTTCAACCAAGCCTCTTTCTTTACTCCTCACTAAGATATTAACAGTAGTAAAGGAGAAATAAAAGAGTACTGTGCAACAACAAATTCAAGAAGTGGTGTAAATCAGATGTGGATACTTAAAATTGCAAGGCACTTTTGAAATCACAAGATTTTACCAAAAACAACAGTTCAAAACTTACAACTTTTCAATTTTATACACAACCATTCCACACGGTAAATTAAAGTCCAGACTTTTTTTTTTATATCATTGACAGGTGTTTTTTCCAATAAAAATGCAACTCGTAAATTTACTTACCTTGTCATTGGTCATTTGCATAATTATTTTGTTAAGAAGCATTCTGATTGTACTCACAAGTACTTTGAATTTGACATCAAAGAGATGCTTGAGTTTCTAATTGATTATATCTGTGTTGTTTTGGAGACCAGGTTTTCCAATAATCCATTGGAAATCCCATGGATACCAATTGCGCTCCGTTATAAGCAGACCTAATTTTGTATTCATATGAAGCAGAATTTGTGCAAAATCTTATGCGTGAAAAAAAGAAAACACCTACTGTGGCCTTCAACTCGACATTTAGATATATCGACGATGTATTGTCAATTAACAATGGTAATTTCCATTATGTCGATGCGATATATCATGGTGAGATTGAGAAAAAAGATACTACAGAGTCTGACACATCTGTTAAATATTTGGATATTTTACTAGAAGAAGACGTTAATGGTAGTCTTACAACCAAGCTCCATGATAAACGTGATGACTTTAACTTTTCTATCGTCAACTTCCCTTACTTTTGCAGCAATATCCCTTCATCACCTGCATAAGGAGTTTACATGTCTCAGTTGGTTCGAGGAGCATGCTGTACGTATGAACAATTTCTAAAACGAGGTAAATTATCGACAAACAAGGTGAGGAAACAAGAATATCAGTAGTCTCGTTTAAAGTCATCATTTCGTAGGTTCTATGGTCGATACAATGGCCTTGTCAGCAAATATAATTTATCATTGAGTCAAATGCTGACTGGCGTTTTTCATACTAATTGTTAGGCCATTATTTATACACTGAATTGACGACGGATTTTTCTGTTAATTCCCGATCATGACAAGAAGCACAAGGAGCGGGTGTGACCGGTCGGCAGGGATGTTAACTCCTCCACGACACCTTATCTCACCTCTGATGTTTTGTAGGTCTGTGTTTGCTGTGTCCCTATTTTGTATTGTTTTATGAACTTTTGATCGTGAATACTGTTCGTTATCTCCATATGATTCATTATTAGTTTGAAATGTATCTGTAAATAAATATTATTAAGTTCAGCTTGCAGTCCTTGGATTAAACACTCCTCTGACAACACTGAGCCTGTTTTTTGTCAAATAAAACAAGACATGTTTGTTCCAAAAATGTCATTTATTATGAAATGACAACATACCGGTATAATATAATACATTAAACTGAATAAAAAAGAAACTGGGAGACAATGTAACATTGAAACACAATTCCTGAGAAAAAATATTAAACAATTCTGCAATAACAAAATTGGCCTCCCAGTTTTTGACTAAATATTACATAACATATATAAACTGGCAAAAAAGGTGGCCTCCAAAATATGGCCAAAAAAAAAAGGAAAGGCTTCAATCCGCTGCATTTCATTTCCGGAAATATGCATAGCATTTCCGACATTTTTTTATTTCATTTCCGACATTTTTTGTTTTCATTTCCGACATAATTTTTTTTTCATTTCCGGAATTTACCTGTGCAGCAATTCAATGTTTTCTAAGTCAAAGAAAATGGAATTTTAAAAGTATTTACCAAAATATTAATAAAAGATAATTAAAAAAATCTATACATATATATGCATACATGTAGCACTAAATCTAGGTAAAAGTCTCCAATGAGCATAAAACTTTTTCACCACATTTTATGTGCACTAAATTAAATGTCAGTGACAGCACCATACTAATGTCCAATTAACCGATAGATTTACAAAATTGGATTTCAATGATTTATTTATGATTTATTCCTTTCAATTTTTCATAACTAAAGTTATCAAAATTGTTACTATAAGTATACTACATATGTATTTGAAAATATCGGAAATGAAAACAAAAAAATGTCGGAAATGAAAACTAAAAAATGTCGGAAATGAAAAATTGATAATTACCCAAAATTCCGGAAATGAAATGCAGCCCTTCAAGCATTTCCTTGCGCCGCCAATATTAGCTTTGGGGTACTAGAAAGCCAGATATTCAATAAAATGTGCAGAGCAGTGGTCAGAAATTTCTTAGGCTCCTGAAGCGTTTCAGAAAAAGGTACGTAAACATCTATTGCATATTATTTGGATTAATCGAAAGAAATTGATATCGAGAATTTTGGTAAAATTTGACTTAAAATAAATTATTTTGGACATCCTTTAATAAATGATACAAAAATGTGCATGTGGTAGATTGTGTTGTAATTTTTCTTTCTGTCTTTAGATGTGTATAAACTAACTTTTTAGCGCTGCATATTAAATTATTTCATTTTTTTTTTGTACATTAATTTTCTTAGCTACGTGCATGAAATATGAAAACAACCAACAGTAACAAAGCTCAAAGTCCATTGGAGCAATTGAAGCTACACAAATTGGGAACAGAAAATCCAAAATCATCGGTTAGGAATGAATGGCTCGATTAATTAGCTTTCATTATGAATAAAGATTATAGCGTGAAAAGGTCACATTTTTATTAGCATACATTATAATATAATTCACAAATAATTACAAAAAGTATTGCATTTGACTCAATCGTGTTTATTTTGGAAAATTGGACATGCTTTCAATTTTAAAATAGAGATGAGCAAGGAGCAATACAGGATATATCAATGTTAAAAAAACACACAGAAATCTATATAATCATTACATTAAATAAAACACAAAATAATGTTGTTTTGTTTAAAAAAAAATTACTGTAAAATCTTATTGTTACGGGTCATTTTGAAATTCATACACTCAAAAGTCTTACATGCTAAATCAGTCACTCTCCAATAGATAAGTTCGTTAGGTAACATTTTAATGCATTAAGAACGACTTCTGTCTGTAACAGCTTTCTTGTTTACATTTCCCGGCGTTTCGCTTGGTTAATTTATGAACGTTTGCTATTTTGGTATAAATATCCAACACCTGAATTTTAATTAAGACAGTGTTGTAACTTCACAAGGATTGATGAATTACACATCTGTTAATCCTACGCTACTGCTTGATTTGGATATACTCTCCTAGTTTTTCCATGGTAAGAAATTTATGTAGCTACAATGTGTTGATGGTTAATTTGAAAAGATTCAATCTGTTGTCCATTCATTTTTAAGTTTTAGATTGGTTTTTGTACCTGTAAATTGAAGAAATCTTAACTATTGTAGAGAAAGTTGCATTTCGAATCAAAAGACGTATTAGGTTCAGAGTGATAGAGTGATTGATAGTTTTCGATATGTCGATATGGTTGAAAAGTACTAACCATACTTTGATTAGATAAGTAAAGTACAAATACAATGGTCATATTGAGCATTTTGCCTTAAGCTGCAAGTGCATATTCATCAAATCTTGAAACAATTATGTAGTTGATGAATTATATGGAAATAACGCAAGTTTAGAAGTCCAATAAACAATACAAACTTTGGAGCAGAGCATACACAGGCCTCAAAAGCATCAGAGATGGGATCAGGTGCCATGGATGAGTGAGCATTCACTGCCGACCGGTCACACCCGCTGTGTGCTCCTTGTCATGATCGGGAAATAACAGAAAAATCCGTCGACAATCCAGTGTGTAAATAATGGCCGAACAATTTGAATGAAAAAAGTCGGTCAGCATTTGACTTAATGATAGTGTGTTTTTGCTGATAATGTCATTGGATCGACCATGCAACTTACGAAATGATGACTTGAAACGAGACTGCTGATGTTCTTGTTTCATCAACCTGTTTGTCAATAACGAACCTGGTTTTAGAATTTGTACATACGTAGAGCATGATCTTGCGTATCGAAGAGATATAATCTCCGTATGCATGTGATGAAGGCATATTGCTGCATTCGTGTAAGTAAGGGAAGCTGACGATTGAAAAGTAAAAGTCATCACGTTTATCATAAAGCTTGGGTATAAGATTACCATTAACATCTCTTTCTAATAAAATACTAGTATCCAAGTATAAAACAGATGTTTCAGACTGTGTGGTTTCTTTTATTTCAAGCTCACGGGATATATCGTATCGGCATAAGAATGAAAATAACCATTGTTAATTGATAACACGTCGTCGATATATCTAAATGTCGAGTTCAAGGCCACTGTGAGCAAATGTTTTCTTCTTTTCATTTTTTACTATGGAAAAAAAATATGATACAAATGAGAAATATAACAAGAATTTACTAGTTTTGGCGAATGCACTGAAAAAAAATTGTTTTGTCATTATGAGGGAAGCATCAGTTGCTAGTTTCTATCTTCAGGTTCATTTCTGATAAAGATAATTTTAATTCAAAGATTTGCAGAATTTAAAGAAGAGTTAATTTTTCATTTCTAATCACCAGCTTCAAAAAGCTATTTATATTGGATTATTTGTTTTGATAGTAACAGCTGGTCTTAGTCATACATTTTACATTATTTTTTGATTTATAACCCTTTACTTTTAATGAATGCATATATGCACCTTGAGGCAAATTTGTGCAAATATGACTGAAATAAATTTGACTTTTCTGAAACAAAGCATGCTTATTACAAAGAGTTTGACATCAATATACCGAAGACTAGAAATTAGTTTTTACTAAAATGAACCCAATTCTAAAGTACGCAACTTTCCTTAATGTTTCGATTTCTCTTTTCAGACTTCCAATTTAATTGGAGAAACGTTAAAGTTTTTATACTTTTAAGGGGGAATTGTATTCCAAGAATAAAAACCAAATGCATTCCAATTATGTCACATAATCAGACCTTATGCCTCATCTGAAGCTTTTTATCTATATTTAATATATTTTTTAAAAAATGTTCTTTTAACACTAGGAGAACACCGTGCTTATTTAGACTAATGTCATAAAAACGATATCTTAATTTAATCAGCTTCCGAACACGGCTTAACTTAGTAGTGTTCTTTATTTTTGCTATATAGATTCTAAATGTTTTTTTGGAATGTTTAAAATTAGGTTTGTGAAATCAACATTTCATGACAGTAAATAAGCAATAAAGGCTTTATGCTACATTACATCAAGTTACCTCAATAAATCTATCCAAACATTTTTATTGCTGTTTTTAAAAAGGAAAATCGTATATATTACATTTTCATTAGTGTCTTTTAAGAAAATGATCATTTTCCTTTAGAATATTTCCAATAGCTGAATCAAAGTCCAATTAAATACAGAAATCTTGAAAAAGCATGACAAATTAAAGAGATTCGGAACAAATTAGAGTCATTTGTTGCCAACATTCATTGAATGGGAGCAGATATATCATATTTAAGGGCCCAATTATTTGGACACATTTTGAAAACAACTTCCCTGATTTAAACCATCAGAATAACCACTAAGGTTGTATATCAACTAGTTACGTCATTGAAAGAAGAGAGTTACTTTTTATTTAAACCGAATTACTTTCAACAGCAATTGTTGATATTTTTTTAAAATTAGATAATGAAATTATTTCGACAAAATGAATCAAAATCAGGATGATTGGAACTCTGGAAACTCCAGAGGTGTTATCAAATGCCAATGAGAAGAAAAAATTCCTGCACTAAGATCTTGCAAACTGTGTATCAATTAATTAAACAAAGTAATCTCTTGCCAAAATTAGCATGAAAATCAACGATTTATCGATACATGTGAATGATCTAGCAATAAGTTTTATTTGCAAAAAGGACATAATAAAGGTTATATAATGTTTGCTGCCTCGGGGATATACTATTGAAACACCTGTAACATTAACTTATCTGTCAGTAGCATTCCTTAGTTTTGAAAATGCTCCACACTAAACGGCTTAATATTGTGAAGGAAAGGGAATCAGAATTGATGAGTAGATGAAACTGGACTTTTTCTATGTAAAAAAGTGAAGTAGACAATGGAACTATTTTTCAATTAATTTTGCTGTTGGTTTACTATTTTCTTCATTTAACTATTCATCTGAACATAAAACTAATGTGGCAACCCAAGTTATGTCTTTTATTTCGAATTCATGGGAGTCAAGGTATGAATTAATATATAATTATTGTAATCTATTACTTTTTTAAAAATATTAATGTTGAATTGGAGACTTCAGATAGAGTTTTCTTCTTCTCGGGAAGAAGTTTTTGAGTATGTTCTGCTTCATAATGGTATGAAAACAGGTCGGTTAATAAGGGGTCACAATTACACTCATCGGAATTTCGACAAAAACCACAATATGATAATCATATGATAATACAGCATCTTTTTATACACAATGTTATTTGGACAATCATTATCTTAAAAAAATTTAAAGATATCAAATTTCTGAAAACGAAAATTTCCCATTCAGAATGTACTGTAGGCTTTTAAGATCAAAATATTTTGAAATCAACTTAAATTTTATTGCAAAAGGTAAAGCATAAGAAATGTCATATTTTATGGAAAGTTAGAGCAGCGCAAGATTTAAGAATTGATAGGTCTTCTACTTTTTAATTTTTATATCAGGGAAGTGATTCTAAAAACGATATACAGCTCGATGTATATGGGCACCTGTGGACTGCATATGTTACCACCCCTCCTTAATTTGTCAAGATTCAAGACGGAATGCAACATTAAATTCTTACTGCATATTAACCGCCATAAATTTAAAACTGATATGGAAATGAATGAAGATATGACATTTTAAACCTTTCTTGTTCCTCTTGTGGTTTGCAATTGAAAATATGAATTTTTATCTGACTCTAAATGCTCCTTTGGTTGGCGAAAACGTTAATTCTCTCTCTAAGTGTCTCCTGTCTGGTTCTCATAATTCAATCTTTTAGTCTTCAGTAAAAGGCATGTACTACTACATTCATTAATTTGTTATATTTAATGTTAAAAGGTGTGTGTTATACAGGCAAAAATTTCATAAATTATGTGAGGCGGATCTATGAAGTGCAATGATCTGAAAACACCAGATGAAAACTATAGTGTTCATGGAATAGCGCGATACCCCTGTTATAGCATCTTTAATAAATCTGACAGTGTTCAGCTATTTATTTGCATATTAACTAGAATACTTCACAGAAATTAAATAAAAAAGTCTACGAAAATAAATACTGCTTTGAAAAAGCATTTATCATATGAATGGCAATTACCATGGAAAAACATCAACGGTTGACGTCAAATGGACTGTTACACTGGTATTTGGCGTACAACAAACAGTGCACATTCTAAAAACATATACTTACCTCCTAATTGTCCTAACACATGCTGTATATCGATTTCATGAACTACTTTAAACAGTAGGTGAAATGTCCATATGAAAGGTTATGAACTATGAACTCAATAATCATGGTATATTAGCCAAATAATTAAAAAAAATATTATACTTTTTTACAGTAATAAAGGCAGTAGGGTTGACAGAGGGACGGACAAACAGACTCCGGGTTAACGGTAGGTGATTCTTTAGTATCTCTCTTCTCTGCAGAGGACACAACAGCACCAAAAAGTTAGCGAAACAATAAAATATTATTTCACGAAATGAAAAGAAACAGATTTTACAAACCTATCGAGAAAAAATGAGACAAGCAAATTTTTCCTCTCGATTTTTCATACTTGTCACAAGAATATACTAGTATGTATTTTTCAGGCAGTCGACAACATGAAGAGCGTGTGTAAAGTTCTAACCCCGTACAGAAGACGCCAGGGAATATATGTTTTCTTTCTTATAACAATTGTCATTTTCTTCACTCTGTTTTCTAAAGGTAAGTTGTTAAAAAAAATTACGGTAAATTTCTATCTTTTATATAATAAAATTCTTGGAAGACTTGGAAGACTTGGTCTCCAAAAACCACATACATGTAGATATTATCAGTCAGAAACTCGGGAATCTTTTTAATATCAACTTCAGAGTACCTCTGTGTACAACCAGATTGTTTTTAACAAAGTAATTTAACAAATAACCAATGACAAGGTACTGAGTATATAATTTTCCGAGATCCATTTTTATTGAAAAAGCAGCTGTCAATTATGCCAAAAAGCCTGGACTTTAATTTATCTTGGGGAATGGTTGTATATGAAGTTGAATAAGTCATAGGTTTTTAAGCTATTGGTTTTGGTAAAATTCTGTGATTTCAAATTTTCCAAAGTTCCTAAGAATTTTTAAGCATCCACATCTGATTTACACAACCCTTCGAATATATTGTTGCACAGTACTCCTTAAGTTTTAATTTCAAAACTGTTTAAATGTTAGTGAGGAATAAAGAAAGAGGCTTGGTAGAACATTTTCAGGAACCCGCTTTTTTGTTTGTAAGGGTTTATGGAGTTTCGGAATTCAATATAGATATGGTAATTTAAATCCATATAGTGGTTGTTTGCAATATTAGAAATATTGAAAACTGACATATGATTGTGAAGAATTTCCTCCTTGGAAAGGGAGCTATGGGTATAAGTTGGATTACCAACTGTAAAATTAAATCCTAGTTCCTTCAAAATACAATGCAAATACTCGTAATGAGCCTTACAAACAAAGACAGTGTTCTAAAATGCTTCGTCAATAGGTATGCCAAGAACGACATCCGATTTTATCGAAGAATTACTTCTCATGAAAGCCTTTTTTTAGTTTCCTGAAATGGATGTATAAGGTGAAAAAATTTACAATATGCTGTCCTTGACTTAAAAAAAATACTCGTGATTTTTAATTTTTCTTTAAGGTCTTTGCATTTATTGACAATGAACATTTACCCCCTTAAAAATGAACTACTAGTATGTGCATATAAGCTGGATATCCCAACGTAAAATGAAAACAAAGTTTTAAAATTCATAATTCCTAATTTTGCAAGTCCTATGGTCGACACAATGATATTGTCAGCAAGTAAAAACTAACTTAACTAGAATGCCAGAGTGACCTTCTCTGAACAATTGTTAGACCTTTTTTCACACTGAATTGTCTGCAATTTTATCCGTTTGCCTGATCATGACAAGTAACACACGGTGTCCATTTTATCTACATTTCATACAGCTGAAGTAATGAGCCTTACAAACAAAGACAATATTTATGTAAGTCATGTCTGATGGAACAATAACACAATGTTGATACATTCCTTCCACTTCTTCCAGGGGATGGTTATCCTCAATGGCACCTGATCCAATCTCTGATGTTTAAGAGGTCCGTGTTTGCTTTGTTATCTATTTGTACTGTTTGACTGGACATTTTTCGTTATTTTTACATTTAATTTCATTACTTCCGATATATCGAAAAGGGAAAGACGGGTTCATTCATT